AAAAAAAAAGAAAAAGAAAAGAATAAAATAGTACTATTGCTTCTATTCTATAGATGAGGATACTGAGCCTTAGAATTCCCCAAGATCACACAGTTTGTGGCTGAGAAAATTCAAATCCAGATCTTCTGACTCTCCATATGGTATTCCACATGTCTCTTATCTGGAACATGAAACTTTCCCCAAACCATTTGGATTCTTGGAGAACTCAGTGGGCATTTGGAGAGACTGAGCTGAAGCCCATACACCGAGGGGGTGAAACGCACCCCCTGAACACTTGTACTTTCTTCATGGCAAGGCTCCCGTTGCATGGAGAACATTTGATCATTGTGCCCTCCACCATGGCATGAGAGGAGGATCTCTTGCCCACACTAAGCTGTACCTTCTCTGGATGCCTGCTATTATTCTGCACAACTCATAGCAATATCTTACTTATTCATAACTTAAGCCTCCAATTAGAGTCATTTGGCAATGAGTCTACCTCAAAACACTGAAGAAAGTGATGGAAAAAAATAGTTTCTGCCCTCCTAAAGCTTTTGCTCTAGTAGATGAAAACAGGAAATATACAACATTTTAAAAACTGTATACCGTTTATGAAGTTCTTGAGGCCTAGGACCATGATTTGTGTAATCCCACGGACTCTAGCACAGTACTGGCACATCGTGTGCCAAATTATTTTGTTAGGTTTAATGGCCAATATAATGCTCCTGCCACATCCCCTCTTGGAAGCCAATGCACCTATTCCCCAGCTACTGGAAATGTCAGTTACTAATACCACATTAGCTGCCTCCCTCATTGGGCGATGCCCTTTGAGGCATGAAACTGCCTCACTCAGGGCTATATACCCTCCTATGAGACCCATGTCTAGTGACAAAGGCCTGGCCTCTTTGCCTTAGTGTGGGACAACTCTGAAGCGTTCCAGTTCCAAAATTCCCCATGAGATCAGTTTAGGCCTCTATTCTGCCTTCAGTCGGTTTTTCCCTTTGCTTAATCCTGCTTTCTTTCCTTCCTAAAATGTCTGTGTGTGTGTGTGTGTGTGTGTATATATACATGTTTGTTTGTTTGTTTTTTTGTGACAGAGCCTCAAGCTGTCGCCCTGGGTAGAGGGCCATGGCATCCAACTCCTGGGCTCAAGCGAATCTCCTGCCTCTGCTTCCCAAGTAGCTGCGACTACAGGCGCCCGCCACAATGCCCAGCTATTTTTTAGTTGCAGCCATCATGTTGTTTGGCGGGTCTAGGCTGGATTCAAACCCGCCAGCTCAGGTGTATGTGGCTGATGCCTTAGCCACTTGAGCCACAGGCGCCAAGCCCCTAAAATGTATATTATTAACCAAGAGTGCTAGCATTGCCAAATAGACCTTGTTCAAGTATCTCTTCATCTTAGCCTTTTTCCAGAGAATTCCATTTAAGATGGTGGGTGTGAGGAGTGGTCCTAGTGAGCATTCTCTAAAATAGGATTTGTGGCTCAGTGCCTGTGGCTCAAGTGGCTAAGGCACCAGCCACATACACCTAAGGTG